AGATCTTGAAACATCCTTTGTGATGATGAATGCCACGCCATTCCTTTTCAAACTGTCATTCCCAGCATAGTAGATCATATGGTTGTCTGATTCACTCACTGATCTGCACTAAACACTCTAATTAGCCATTAGAGAGATGAAAATCAGAACAATAATGAGATACCATTTCACCCCAACACTAATAGCAAAGGGATGAGGTAAAGGAATTGCTAGATAGGTAAGAGGTAAGTATTTGATTTGGGTGAAAGAAAAGGCAAAATACCTTTGTGTTCTGAGTGACCAACACAATAAGGAAAAAAAAGGTACAGAAGTACAGACAATAAATATAAACACTTTATATATACAATACTGCATTATCAGTAATAAACATTAATCTACAGGTAAATACATAGGTAGACAGGTTGAATGATAAGGTATGGCTAGGCAAGACAGAATAAACCCATGACCACACGTAAGTCTGGCAGACGATATTTCTACATATGTATTTGTATGTGTTACAAAATGTCCATACAAATAGAACTAATAGGGGGCAAAGTTACGATAACTTCTTAGGCATAGCCAAACACCCTGAGGGAGCGAGTTGTTGGACCTGTGGGTTTGGGACTATGGTCATGGGGGACATTGAGCTCAACTGGCATAACATACTACACAAAAACATTGTTCTACATCCTACTTTGGTGGGTAGCAACTGGAGTCGTAAAAGCTTGTAAGTGGCCGTCTACATGCAACATTGGGTCTCTTCTTGTCTGAAGCAAAGAAGAATGAAGAGCAAAGATGCACGGAAACAATTAGTCTAATGAACTAGTGGACCATGAGAATCTCAGCCTACATGACCATGAGACCAGAAGAACAAGATGATGCCTGGCTACCACTGTCAACCACTTGGAAAGGGATCAGTGCAGGAGATCCTGGATACAGTAGGAGAAAAATGTGGAACAAAACTCAAAATAATAAAAAAGACCAGACTTACTGGTCTGATAAAGACTGGTGAAAACCCTGAGACTATGGTCCCTAGTCACTCTTCAAACCTGGAACTAAACTCACTCTTGTAGCTTCCAGCCAAACAACAGACAGGCATATAAAGTGAACATTTTTACCAGGTAGGTACATTCCTTAGAACAATCAATGGTGGGAGATCAGAAGGGCAGTATTTGTATAGGAAGATAGCTTAGAGGGCAGAAATGCACAGGAAAGGAGGACACAGAAAAGGTAACCACAGGGCAGAAGTGGGAAGAGAGCTGTTACATATGGGGACTGCAATCAATGTCATAAAAAAAAAAAAATGTGTATGAATTGTTAGAAAATGAATTTGCTTTGTAAACTTTCACCCAAATCACAATATGAGGGAAGAAAAAAAGCTTGCCAATTTATACCCAAGGATAATAAAAACAAGCAACTAAAAATACAGTAGAATGTTAAAATAGAGCACATAAATGGAACAAGTTAACTGGTTTCCATCTACTTCAGTAAATTCAAAGCAATTGACCAACATATGACTGTTGCCCTTTCCCAAAAAAATAACAAGAATTTTCAAAACTGAAAACATCCTTAGAAGTTCTAAGTTAAAATCATTTTTTTTTCCAAACGGAGGCACAAATTTGTGAAGTTACATGAACAGTCTATAGCTGTCATCATCACTCCAAATATACTCAACACAATGCACTAAGGTGTAGCACTGATCCATAAGTAAAACATATTTTTCTGAAATTACCTTCTGTACTGTGTTGAACAGTGTCCCCTCAAAATTCATGTCCTTCCCAGAACCTCCAATGTGACTTTATTTGAATATAGGGCTGTTACAGACATCATTAAGTTGAGGTCATACTGGATTAGGATGGGCCCTTGATCTAATATGACTGGTGTTCTTATAAGAAAAAAGACAGACAGACACAGAGGGAAGACAGCCAAATGAGGACGGAGGCAGAAAACAGAGTTATACTGCCATATGCTAAAGAACATCTGGAACCAGCAAAAGCTAGAAGCAGCAAGGAAAGATTTCTCCCCTACAGGCTTCAGAGAAAACATACCCCTTGCCAATACCCCGACTTCAGACGTCTAGCCTCCAGAGCTGAGAGAATAAATATGTTTTAAGCCACTTAGTCTGTGGTACTTTACAGCCCTAGGAAGCAAATACATCTTCTGAAAATAAATCATACTTAAAAGTGTATTTGAGAAGACACTGTGTAAAAAGTGTAAAAAGAATCATAATCATCATAGGAAGTGCATATAGGACAAGAGAGAGTGACCTTGCTTACAATGGAGTTGAGCAGAAAGATAATCTCTAATTAAAAAAAAAAAAAAAGCAGTGAGTGTTCACTGTGATTTCTACATTTCTTCAAATTTTATGTAATAAAATAGATTTCTTTGTTTACTCATTACCTCCACTCAAAATTGAAAAATGCAAAAATATATTACCTGAACTGGATGTTCACTAAATGAGGCTGGGAACCATCTGATTGCCAGTAAGTTTCTAGATTGTCATCTCGTAACTGATCCACTCCAAATCCTAGAAACACCAAAAGTGACAATAATAAATTCCTATGAAAAAATAGGGAGTTATACATTAAAAATGTAAAATTACCATATATACTTGTCCAAAAAGTTTGATTCACAGGATTGTCAGAACCATAATTTAGATTTAACCAGAAATTTCTCCACCCTTTCATCCAGAACCTCTTAGAAGTATTGCTTGCACACACAAAAAGCTTGTATTAGGACCAAGTGTACTTGGTTGTTGGTTTTAGATTTTAAAAAGAGCATCTTCTAGAATATACTGTAAGGTCAATATGTATTTAAATCTAGTTTATTATATTTTCTGCAAGCTAATAAGAAGAATGATGCTCATATTTATCCTAAAAAATTCTGAAAAATAAAACAGATTCTAGTAACTTCAATATATCTGTTATGACAAGAAAAAGAACTTAAAAATTTTTTCAAAACTCACAAACATTTTGAAACCAACTGTTTCTAATTAACATTCTGGTTAACCAAAAATGAAATTTATCTCATATCATCTAGTTATTCCAAATAACTGAAGTTGAAATATACTGTTTGTTCCTGATTAAAACCATACCAAATTGTACTTATTACAGAAACAAGACTGAATTAGTGGCAAAATACAGATATTTCACCAAAAAAATTGAGAATATAGTTTCAACTTATTTTCTTTTATGACCAAATAATACATTCATTATCAATCAAATTTAAAATATAACAAAGAGAAGATAGTCTCTATACCTCTCAGTAGGAGATCTTGGATAGAGTGGGAGAACAATGTGAAACAAAATTCAAAATCATTTATTAAAAAGAAGGACCAGGTTTGCTGGTCTGATAGGAGCTGATCAATCTGCTGAGACTATGGCCCCTAGCTGTCCTTCAGGTCTGGAATCAAACCTGCTCCTCTGGCTTCCAGCGAAACAAAACAGGCATATAAGCTGAACATTTACAATACGTAGATACAGTGCTTGGGGATATCAATCATGGGAGAATAGAAGGGCTGTGTATATACAGGGAGACAGCTCGGAGGGCAGGAGTGCATGGGAGGGAAGAACACAGGAAAGAGGTAAATATGGGGAGGAAGTGGAAGGGGAGCTGTATAGTAGGTTTTAAAATCTGGGAATATGAAATCTCTTGCTTTGTTCTTCTTCTTCAATAAACCTTTGCTTATCCGAGGTCTCTTTCCTTTCCATATAAAGTTAGTGACTGTTTTTTCCATATCCTTAAAGAATGTTGATGGGGTCTGGACTGGGATTGCACTGAATGTATAGATTGGTTTGAGAAGAGTTGACATTTTCACAATGTTTCATCTTCCCATCCATGAGCATGTTATATTCTTCCATTTATGTTGATCTCTTATGGTTTCTTGAAGCAGTCTTTTGTAGTTTTACTTGTACAGGTCTTTTGTGTCCCAAGTATTTTATCTTTTTGACTGCTATCCAGAAGGCTGGCAGTTCAAACCCACCAGCCACTCCTTGGAAGGAAGGTTGGGCAATCTACTTCCCTAGTGATACCACCTCGGAAACCTAAGGAGGGGTTACTATGAGTTCGATCCGACTCAATGGCAGTGAGTAGGGTTTACTGGAAATGGTATTGATTTCCTTATTTCTTTTTCAGCAATCTCTTTGCTGGTGTAGAGGACTCTAACTGATTTTTGGATGTTGATCTTGTATTGTGCCATGATGCTAAATCTCTCAATTAGTTACAGTGGATTTTTTTACTGAGTCTCTTGGGTTTTCTAGGTATAGGATCATAGCATAAGCAAATAGGGATAGTTTGACTTCTTCCTTACCAATTTGGATGCCTTTGATTTCCCTTTCTTGCCTTATTGCCCTGGCTAGGATTTCCAATACAATGTTGAATAAAAGTGGTGATAGAAGGCATCCTTGTCTGGTTCCTGTTCACAAAGGGAATGGTTTCAGTCTCTCTCCATTGAGAATAATGTTGACTGTAGGTTTTGCATAGATGCCCTTTACTATGTTGAGGAATTTCCCTTCTATTCCTATTTTGCTGAGAGTTTTGGTCAGGAATGGGTGTTGGATTTTATCAAACGTCTTTTCTGCATTGATTGCTATGATCATGTGGTTCTTTTCATTTTGTTTTTTCCCAAAGGGGCAGGAAGGCACCATCTTCTGAACTCCTCTAACCCCACAAGAGGAAGACAGAATTACCATTAGTTGCCCAAGGTCTATTCCTGCGAGGCCAGACATGCTGCCTCCCTCCAGCCCTTTCACCAATCCTTCACCAACCATTCCTCTCGCAGCACCCACCACCTCTGCTGGGTTCGATAATGCACTGCAGTGTCCACATAGAACTCACAGATTATGGGGTTTATTAGGGAAGCAACAGACTACAATTCAAGTTCAGAAATGCACTCAGTCTCTTGCAGCAGGCAGTCTCAGTAGCACATTGCTCCCTCAGCAGCATGTGTTTCTCCCGTCTCTCTCTCTCTCTCTCAGCAATGTATGTCTCTTGCGTCTCTCTCAGATACGTATGTCTCTTGCGTCTCTCAGCAGCATGTCTCTCACATCTCTTAGGAGTGCGTTGCTCTCAGCAGCACGTCTTTCTCAGCCAGCAGTTAGAGGGACTCCACCTCTAGGAGGGCTCCTTTTGAACCTGGCAGAGTGGCCAAACTAACCGATCCCAACATCAGAATTCTATACACCTGAGAGAGAGCAAACTTCCCATTAAATTACTTCCTGCTGCTCCCAACAGAAATACCCTAGGTGGACCACTTTAACAATCAGGAGCTACTCACTTGCTCATGGCAAATTCCACCACGGAGTTTACAAAGACTTATGGCTACAAAAGCCACACTATGTACCACAGTTTCATTTATGTGGTAGATGATATTGACTGTTTTTCTAATGTTGAATCATCCTTGCATACCTAATATGAACCCCACTTGGTCCTAATGAATTATTTTTTGGATATACTGTTGGAGTCTATTGGCTAGGATTTTGTTGAAGATTTTTGCATCTATATTCATGAGGGATGCTTGTCTGTAGCCTTCCTTTTTAGTGATATCTTTGCCTGGTTTTGGTATCAAGGTTATGCTTGCTTCATAAAATGAATCTAGGAGGATTCCATCCTTTTCTATGTTTTAGAATAGTCTGAATAGGATTGGTGTCAATTTTTCTCTTAATGTTTGGTAGAATTTCCTAGTGAAACCATTTAGGCGAGGACTTTTTTTTGTTGGTAATTTTTTTATGACCTGTTCAATTTCTTCTTTTATAATGGGTCTGTTCACCTTTTCTAACTCAGTTTGTGTTAGTTTAGGTAAGTAGTGTGTTTCTAGAAATCTATTTCTTCCAGATTTTCAAATTTGTTGGAGTACAGTTCTTCATAGTAACCTGATATTATCCTTTTTATTTCAGTTGGTTCTGTTGTCATGTCGCCCATTTAATTTCTTATTCATGTTATCTGTATTCTCTCCTTCTTTTCCTTTGTTAAATTTGCCAGTTGTTTGTCAATTTTGTTAATCTTTAAAAAAAAAACAACTTCTAGTCTTGTTGATTTTTTTCTATTGTCTTTCCATTTTTTGTTTCATTGATTTCTGCTCAAATCTTTAATATTTCCTTTCTTCTGGTGACTGTAAGCTTTTCTTGCTGTTCTTTTTCTAATTGTTGGAGATACTGGTTTAAAGTGTTGATTTTGGCTCTTTCTTCTTTTTTGATGTGTGCATTTATTGCTATAAATTGGTCTCTGGTCACTGCTTTTGCTGTGTACCAAAGATTTTGGTATGTTGTGTTTTAATTCTTATTTGACTCAAGGAATTTTTTAATTTCATTTTTATTTCTTCTCTTACCCAGTCGTTTTCAAGGAGAGTGCTGTTCAGTTTCCATGTGTTTGCTCTTTTGCTCTTTTTCCATTGCTCTTCCTATTGTTGATTTCTAATTTGATAGCATTGTGATCTGAGAAGATCTTTGCAGTATTTCAATGTTTTTAAATTTATTAAGGCTTGCTTTATGGCCTAACATATCATCTATCATGGAGAATGTTCCATGTGCTCTGGAAAGAATGCATATTGTGCTATTGTTGGGTGAAGTGCTCTGTCAATAAGGTGCTCTGTCAATAAGGTCAAGTTGGTGGATTGTATTGTTTAGCTCTTCTGCATCTTTGTTGAGTTTCTTTCCAGTTGTTCTATCTTTTGTTGAAAGTGGTGTATTAAAGTCTCCTACTATGATTGTGCAGTCATCTACTTGCCTTTTTAATTCTGTTAAAGTCTGATTTATGTATTTTGGGGCTCTTTCATTGGGTCCATAGATATATATTATGGTTATATCTTCTTGTTCAATTGATGGTTTAATCATTATATAATGTCCTTCTTTGTCTCGTATGGTGGTTTTTGTCTTAAAGTCAATTTGATCAGAAATTAATATTGCCACATCTGCTCTTTTTTGGTTGCCATTTGCTTGATAAATCTTTTTCCAACCTTTGATTTTTAGTCTATTTTTGCCTTTGTCTCTAAGGTGTGTCTATTGTAGACAGCGTATTTAATCCATTGACAGTCAGTGTTATTATTGACAAGTATGAACTGGTTGCTGTCACTCTGTTATGCATTTTTTCTTGGTGTTCCTGGTTTCTTTGTTCCATATAATCTTCTGTGCTGAGTTCACTGTATTTATGAATCATGTTATCATTTCCTTTGTTGCTATTGTTTTAGTATTTGCTAAATATTTGTGCTTGTCTTCTTTTTTACTGTGATGTGAAGGTTTATCATCTTTCTTTGAGGTTACCCTTTGATTTATAATTTTCTCCTCAAGTTTAGAATAATCCATTCTATCTTGCAACTAACTCTCTTGACTTCCTCATGATTTAAAAGTTCTGTAATGACACTATCTTTTCCCTCTTTTTGGTTTGTAGTTGTCCTCATTTGCCAATTGATATCTCTGGTTCCCTGTTTACAATCTTGAAAGCTTATTTTACTTTGGATACATCCATAACTGTGTTGGTTTCTGGGTGATGTCATCGTGGGTATTAATGGTCAGTTGTGGTTTGCTATTATTG